GGCGAGTGAATTGTTCTGGGGATGTCCTGGAAGCGACTGGTCTAATGGAATCCGGAGTTCCTTGAGCGCTGCTTCGAATTGTGGCGCATCATCCGAGTAAGCGTTGGTGACCTTTCTCTTACCGATATAGTGCTTCATCGCCTGCACCACTTCGTCACTATTGCTTGCTTTCAATGGATAGCCCCATATCACACCAGTGAACCGATCTCGAATCACCAATACATCCTTATCCGGCATGATCCCATCTCTCGCCATCTTCTGAGTGTTCATGAGATCGAAGGTGATAAGGTCACCAAATGCCTTCAATTTCCGTTTGAAAGCTCCCTTGCTAGTCTTGTAGTGCTTCATCTTTGCTCTCACACATGACTAGCAGTATGGGTTCTTGTATCGGTGCGTCATCAGGTGCAATATGGATTTCGCCTCATTCTTCAGCACTCCTGGTTTTGATAGTCTGGCTTCCACATCAACCACATCGACTTCCAATAGTCCCTCTTCATCTTCACCAATGTCACTCTCCTCTCGTTCAGAATCCGCATCACCTCCACGTTCGTCGTCTTCGGTTTCTTCAGGTTGACCATCGTGATCACGATCGATTCTCGGGTCTTCCCCGTCATATTCCTCTTCAGGAGAATACCTATCATCACCGTGTTCCTCTGGTCCTCCTTCGACGCCTGCAACCGCTGGATTGATATCGGATTCACCATCTCGATCTCTCTGGTTATCTTTCTTCTTTCTCCTCCGTCTCCGTGGTTTCTTGGGCGGAGGTTCCTCTTGTTGTGTCTCCTGACCTGCTGTGGCCTCGTCTTCATGCCCCACACCTGACAGTATGCGATGAAGTATCGTAGCCAAGCCGTCTGGTCTTGGTAAACATCTCCCGTCATCATCATTCACCTTGATGTAGGGTATGTTGTCATGCACCGATAGCGGAATCTTGTTCGCGTTCTGGTCGATGAGGTATGGCAACTGATTTGCTGGCCATATGAATGAATACCCTTGTTCCATGCACCGTTTCCCGATGGAAAAGACTGATGGTGTGCTCTCCAACACGTGTGCCTCAGACATCATGGGTAGTTCGTCCACATTGATGTCCACCATCTCTGATGTACTAGTTACACCATTCGCTGTCATGAAGCTCACGGATTTGGGTCCTTCCTTGGTGGTAAGGCCCATGGCGTTGACTTTCTCTCTTGAGATCAAGTCGTGTCCACATCCCGTGTCCATGATGAAGCGTATCGGTGGTCCATCATACCTCTCCACAGCCATGAACATCGTGTCTCCTGGTATCGTGTAGTTGACAGAATCCTTCTTTACTACCTCGCTGGTGTTGAAGTCAGATAGGTCGACGTTCACCTCGATTCCTTCATCTTGAGTGGTTTGTATCCATGCCTTGGCAATATGTTCAGCAGAGTATAGCTCCATCATCTTACCTTTGGCATGTGCTACTCGTGCAGCTATGTTACTCACTCTGAGGGCTCTCAACGACGAAATGAGCTCGGTATCCACCTTCTGCACCTCATCCTTCTTCTTCCTGAGAGGACGGGTATTTAGCTCGTTACCAGGATCACAGGTAAACGTGGTCACACTCGCCCGGTCGTCGAATCTGACTTTAAAGCGAAGCGCCAGCTTACCTTGTTGTACGTTGGGAAGTGCGGGTCGCGCGTCCTCGCCATCACTCTCGATGTCTCCGCAAAGCATGAAGGCTGGTGCAGCCGGTTTGGGTTTGGCTTTGCCTTTAGCCTCTTGTTTTGTAGCAGGAGCAGCGTGATGCTGACGTCGACATTTGTCACCGAACTTGCACGATCCTTTCTGCCAATTCCAACAGACCTGATCCTTCATTGGCTTAGGGCTAGTGCTCCTGCCACCAGGACTCTTTGATCTGTCACCCTTGAGGCTTTCTGGTTTCTTAGCAGAACTTTTGTGCTTCTCTTGGTGACTAAACTTGCATTTGTCTCCTCTAGAACATCCGTTTTTCCCATGGAAGTGGAAGGCGCATCCTATCTTGGACGTATCTGCTGGAGTCGCTGACCTGCCACGATCCCCTTTTGGGCTCTTCGTGGTTGATCTTCCACGATCCTGCTTCTTGTCCTTCTTGTTGTGGTCCTTCGGATTAGCCTGAGGAAGTACTGGAGCGGCGTCCTTCGGTGGATCGGCCTTGGTATTCTTGGGTTTCGCTTTAGGGTCCTTCTTCTCCGCCGCTGGTGTGGCTTTCACGAGGTTCCCAAAAGCTTTTTCCCTTTCTTTCTTGTTTGCGGTCTCGATTGATTTCCGTATCCACTTCGCCATGATTTCTCGTAACTTCTGGTAGGTCTTATCCGGATCCTTATCCAACATGTTGTCGTACACAGACAAGTCTAACGCCATAACTTTGGAATCCTTAATCTTGTCCCAGAGCAGGTTGCGGAGTGCTTTGTCAGGAAGCATGTCGTCCGCATCCATACCTGATATGATCTCATCCCACTGTCCAAGGAATCTGGATAGTTGATTATCCCCAGGGAACTTTAGATCGAATAAGTGCTTGGATGCATACATCACATCGACGTTGTCGGCACTCCGGAAGCTATCGACGATCAACGCTAACATTTCTCGTCCCTTGACCATTCCAGGAGTTGTACCTCTCGCACGTCTCTGCATCATCTGCCTCACCTTCAGTTGTACATCATGAGATCTCTCACCTGCTGCGTGGATGATCGTATGTAGGGTGATACCTAGCTTAGCGTCTATGCTAGCGAATCTTGCTTCGCCTGATGTCTCGAGCAGAAATGGGTCATACGGTGATCTGAAGGCATCCGAGAGCCATTGGATCCAATCTTCTTGTCTTTCGTCGCCCGATGCCGTCACGACTGCCGCTACAACCTGGGATTTCCAAACCTCCAGGTCGTGTATCTTGGGCCATGCAGGGATGTTGATTTTCTCGTGTTCCTTCCGAGATATCTTGGAGCCACCCGAGCTAGAGGATGAAGCGGCACCATGTTCGGTTGCGGCTGCATTCTCAGCATTCAAGCGCTCCTCTTCGTACCTCCTCCGGTACTTATTCCTCTCATCTCTGAGCCGTGCTGCATGCGCTTCGAATTCCATCATGTCCTGTTGGTTCTGCATCATACCTTCGTAGTACTCCATTGCCTCTTTCTCCTCGGACCTTAATGACTTTTCGGTACGTCCAAGTTCCGCTCTAAGCTTGGTCATCATCTCGTTCTCCACATTGGGTTGTGATCCCATGTCTGGTGGTTTCAACTCCAGTGCGACCTTCAGTTGTGCTTCACTTGCACTTGATTCGATCAATTCTTCCTGAAGACGTTTCAGCATCCTCTCTTTACGTAGAATGTCCTCTTCCAACATGTTCACCTTGACCTCGGCTTTCTTGAGTTCGGCGTTGGATGGTTGAGACGGTCGACCGGATCCTTGAATCCTCGCCTGTGTCAACTCCTCGTTCGCCCTCTTCAATTGCTCTCTGATGGTCATGATGAAATTGTCCTGATTATAAGATCGGTTGTTGAGCTCCTCATTCTCTTCTGATAACCATTTGATCTTGCTTGCATACATTGCTTCCTTCATCTTCATCTCCTCAGCATATTCGTGTTTGTTCCTGGCACTCTGCCTTTGTAGTCCAACTAACTCCTGTCTATACAGATCCCTAATGTTCTCAGCATCTGCGACTGCAGTCATGAGCTCGGTTACGGCTCGATCTCTTTCCGCCGATACAGCCTGGATCTCTTCCGCGCCGATGTTCACGACTTGACTAACCATCTCTGCGCTGTTGCGATCAGCGTACTCCCCTAACTGGGTGAGACGATCCCGCATTGCCACACGATCAGTGTCAATCTGATATTGCAAATCGTGTGCTGCTGAGAGCAAACAGTCTCTGGATTCTGTAAGTTGGGAGATTCTTCGTTGATTTCCATATCCTTCGACATAACATTCTTCGAGGTGTGCCATCACTACTTCGTGGACTTCGGTCTCGTGTTGTATAATCTGGTTCTGTCTCTGCTCACATTCGACCATCCATGCGTTTTGGTGGTTCAACATATGCACTTCGGCAAGTAGTTGTGCACACTTTGCATTGAGGTCTCCATCGGCCCGTGCTAGTTGTAGGTTGTCAGTGCTTGCCCTTGCTCCATCTCCAGCTTCGCTGTCCGACGGCACTGGTACAGTTGACCCATCCTCCAATGCTAGCACTCTCACAGCTCCGGTGTCAGTTCTCCTCCTTGTCTCCCTAGGGCTACGGCCTGATCTCGGTGTCCCCCCCGGTGGTGTCGAGTGCGCTGACGGGGAACGACTTCGTGCTCTACCTGTCGCATTTTCTCTCACCGCTGCCAGAGTCTCCACTTCGATCGTACCTGGACTAGAGTTGTGGGATGCACTCATCCGATCTGCGGCCGCAGCAGCTGCTCCAAAAGATGCAGTGCTGGCGTCGGATTGGTCCATCTTCAGTGACTGAGGGTAACTGGTCTATCCGATGCGTGTGCGTTTAGATGGTGTTATGTAAGGCCGTAGCTCGTACCCAGCTCAAAGGAGTCTGGATACGGCTGATAACCTGCGAACGGATGGAAAGGTGTGCCCTGGCCCCGTTCTAGCCCTTAGTTCAACATGAAGCTCGCGCGCTAAAGCTCCTTTTTACCTGGTTGGGCACTTGAGCCAAAATGGTATATGGCATGTACCTGTATAGCAACTATACTGGGACCTCATCCCTATTGACAAATATAGATATTATCTATATAGTGTTTTTTGCGGGGCTTCACTAAGCCTTGACTTTTCTTGACGATTTCTTGCCCTAAGGGAACCACGTCTGCCTTCCCCACCCTTGCTGCCCGCACGTCAGAGCTCCATAGCTGCCTGCTGGTGAAGCCTGAGTAATTCCAGAAACGGCAGAAGTTGCCTTTCCAGGCACCAAGAGATGGAAGGCTATTCCGCAAGGGAAAAGAGCTCTTTCACTGATTTCTCAGACAAACCTTCCCCACCCCCGCAGCTTGCTATGCATTTGTCCAGCTTCAGAGTTACATCTGTCACATTGCGCAGGGTCTTTCATCCGCCATCTCCACCGAGTGGAAATAGTGCACAGCGTTTGTGGACTGGCCACCCATCTGGGAGATACTACCCAGGCGGAAACGAGATCGCAAGACCTCAGTCAATTCATATTGATCTGTCCATGAGATATTCATGGATTCTGCGATGCCAAGCCCTGGATTTGAGAACCTTGTAGAATGCCAAAGCAGAAAGACGGGGCCATTCCACATCCATTGGTGCGCCAGATCTGCTAGAGCCGGCCAGGGACCACGAGGCCGTTGAGGATCTTTCACAAAGTTGTCCCATTGGCTCGTGTACCATTCAGACAGCGTGTGCGACTCACGGAGCCATGCCTCCAGCTCATGAGAAGTCATTTCCCACAAGGGATCATTGGCCAACTTGATCACCTTGTTGACTTAAAAGGTAAATTGGGAAGCAGAAGAAGTTCTTTCTCATCCGCATTCCATTCAGTCACATTCTTGGCAAGGCAGCTCTGAATGTGGAAGTGGACAGGGAAGGCATAGCCTCTCTTCTCACAGTTCGGAGCGCAATAAGCAGGCTGCCACTTGCTGTGAATGAAGGTGTAGGAGTGTGTCTTGTCGGTGGTGGTGGACTGAAACCAGGGAAACTTCACACTGGAACCCTGAGCGAAGGCGTTGGTGATGGTCTCAAGTGTCTCCGGAGGTAGCCAGGCACCCCGCCACAAATCTCCAGTGGTCGATGGCAACTTGTTGAGAGCATCGCCCAACTTCACCTCAAAGGACAGAACTGATTTGACAAGAGCTGCGCCGGAACCTTTGAACCCCCACTCCATATTGCTAGGTTCTGAAGGTACTAGGCCTCGGCCCAGCATTCCAACAGCCATGGAGTACTGATAACTTCCCAAGTGCTTTTTCAGGATGGCGAGGTCTTCTTCGTCAAACTGTTGTTCCTGAAGGCTGGGAAGCAACCAATTCACCTCGGCCCAAGCATCCGCTTGGGACGCCGAGCTGGTCAGAACCATCGATGTTCCGCAATACTTCACCTCCACGTTCCCCCACCAAGTCTCTGTAACTTCAGCACTCAATAGCTGGCGATACTCACATCCTGTCAGATCCTGATGAGTTCGCAAAGCAGTCCCCAAGTCTGCGAATGACACAAGCCAGGGCCACCCCAGCAACCACATGGGCTCCCGTCCGCAAAATAGATGGATTCTCGAATAACGTCGGCAGCTTGATTTTTTTGAACCGTTACCGGGCACGAGCACATAAACATAAGCACGTTTGCTTGACCTCTCACCATCTGACTGCTGCTACTAGCTTCTCACAGAAAAGCTATATTAGTTCAATTCAAGGGTGGTCCACCTATGTCATCACTGATCTGCACCGCACACTGTTCTAAGCACCAGACCCTTCTCCTGCGCATGGATCCTGGAAGTCTCCGCGTCATAGCTAACTTAGAAGAAATAAAATTATGAGAAACCAAATGCTAACCGTCAGTAGCTATGGCATCACTTTCACCTAATCAAGAAGCCATGGGAATTTCAGCCTTGTGCATGAAACAGTCCTGGAAGTGGCCAAGTTCGCAAAGGCCTCGTAGATGGCATTACCATCCTCCATGCCTCGGCTTCAGGACCCGACGTTGTTCACACAGGAAGTGTAACTGGAACAAAGGCAGTTCTTGAACAAGAATGCTACAAGCAAGAGAATAGGAAGGCCGTAGGTGCACGCTTTACTACTTAAGTAACTTCGCATTAGTGGCACTAAAAGTTTTCAAGTGGAGATTTTAATGAAACTTATTCACTGACAGGAAACAAGTTCTACCTGAGGCCCAGGCTCATTGGGCCATACCGAAGGGTTGTGCCTTTGGTAGCCTGCAGGCTGTCGATCAGGCTAGCAAAACTTTCATCGCTCTGATGGACATGATGAGAAGAAGGAAGCCAAGAAGGCTCACATGTCTCAGTCAGCATAGGTAGGACCAAGGTTTGGACAGCAGGGGCAAAAGACACACACTCAGAGGTAAAAGAGATCAGTGTGGTCCTTCTGCGACTTTGCTAGAAATGCTTTTGAGCACTTATGTTTTATGTTTGTCCTATATTTCACATTGGCAAGTGCATGTGTATATAGTATCGTGTATTTTCCTGAATTATCCTGACATCTTCTCAATGCGAGCAGCTCCTCGTACTCCTCGAAGACCTTTTGCCATGACTTGACGTCAGCCCTGCGTATTGCCAATGCGTGAGGACTGTCCAATGGTCATTCTTGCTTGGATCATGCAGTCAAATGGTCATGTGACTTTTTAGCAAGTCTCTTTCCCCCAGCTGCCCAAGTACTTGCCCAAAGCCCCCTCCTCGGCTTGTGCAGTAGAAAAATCGCTGGCACCTAGGGAAAAGGAGCCGAGGTCCAAGGAGTAAACAAAAAAATGCATGTGAACACTGTGTGAAGCGCCATCCTTTCTGCCCAGCGAACCGTTCGTCGAAGACAAGGTGCGGACCGGTCGCCGGGTGGCTGGGATGGACTCGGTCATCTGGAGCATCATCTGGAGCAAACGGGAAGTGGTTTGAATGGAGTCAGTCAATTGTCCCGGAGAAACCAATCCAAGATCCATCCACGTGAGCATAAAGCCCTTGGCCTTCAGGAGCAGAACAAATCCATCTGCCCCTATGGATTGCTATTTGTCCTCAGTACTATTTGCAATGATAATGATGCCTCCAAGCACATCGCCTACGTCATTCGTGGTTCGCTTCAACACTTCCAATTGCTTCCTTTCACCTGTTTTGGGCAGATATCTTCAGCTTCAGGCTCCAGGACGCAAATGAGCCTTGCCTTCTCAATCTCTTCCAGTCTCTGGAGGATCGCAGCACCCTGTTCACTTGGATAAACTAATTTTGCTGAGAAGCCACAAGCTAGACTCCACTAGACCAAAAAGAATTGAAAGGAGATGCATTACAGCCACTCATGAATCTTGCGTCCCCATTCAGCTCGTTCTCGGATCTAGAGTCAGATCTACTGTATGTCTCTTCGCTTGTCTTTCAGTTTGGTGCTATGATTTGTCAACAAATGTCGCGCACCTTGTCTACAGTGTCATCAATGGTGACCATGAAAATCATGCAGCAGTTTTCTGCCTTAGTTCAGCCAATGTCCAGCAGCTTGTCACACATCCACAAGGTGGTCCATCTGCTAAGTATCGTAGTTCGTCCAAAATTCCCTTTTGATCTTTTCTTATGCTTGGGACATCAATATGTTTGACGCCAACCACATGTTTCTCCGGATTTCTCCACCGGTGCTTCCCAATGCCAGTCTTCTGCAAGTTAAAGTCAATACGTCTTCCAAAAACAACTTGAGAAGATCCAAAGCCAAAGCAGAAGAGAGTATGCTTGGGAAATTGCACAAAGCAACTTATATGAAACAACTTCACAACAACTCCGGTGTTGCAGGTTGACCTGTTGCAGGTCTGAGGAGCCAACATCAGAAGCACTGTTGCATGCTTTTGTTAGCTTCCTGGCAGACTGCTTTGACCAGAAAGCAAAATGTTGGACAAGCCAGTTGCATGTAGGTTTAGCCCGTAGAAGACGTTCAAAAAAAGGTGGACATAGTTTACTGACAATGGTCACTTGCACATTGGTGGGGTACAACAGAACTTCAAATCCTCACTGCCTCTGTTTCTGGCATTTAGTTAAGTATATTCGGTGACTGTTACTGTGATGACAATACATTTGCTGGCTGGTCTTTGAGTGGCGAGGGTTGCAGTGAAGCCTGCAAAATACTCAAACCTGTATACAAATACAAAAAACAAAAAATACGTCACACACAGCTGTGCGTTAGCTACTTTTGCTTCTGGGTATGAAGTGATCCTTTGAAAACCTGCAAACGGCCTTCGACCTGTCATCCAGGCCAAAAGAACGTCATATCCTTCACTCCCGCTCCCTTCGACAAGCAATGGCCTCCATCCTACTAGCGATGGCCTCCAACCTAGATGCGATGGCCTCCAAAAGACCTGGTATGGGGGGTTCTGCTCAAGAAATCCAGGCTCGCAATGTGCCAGCTGGACCCATGGGGCAAAATTCGGAAAGACATCTTTGCCAACCTTACCAAGCATCTCACAAGCATCAAGGCCGCTTCAACCACTGGGCTCTCACAAGACGTTGAGGCTGGTATGCCTACACCTTTGCCACGAGTAGTTATTCCAAGACTGAAGCTCATTCCGTCCCCTGGCAATCTGAGAAGCCGTGCCGAACCTTGGAATTGGATGGCCTGGACGAGGGCGCCCGCCCAACCAAATCATCTCACACGGAACAAAGAGCTGCAGAATGAACAGAAAGTGGTTGACAAATTCATGGGTGACCAATCACAAAAATCCTCTGGTTGACATCAACACATGGGCCCTTCTTTCACTGACCTGCGCGCCATCTGCAGGGAGGCTGTTTCCACCCTTGGAATCTCCTTGGGCATTGCAGAGAGGTTTCTGCTCAGGGCTGGATATTTTCACACATTGTCCTGATCTTGCAGGAACTGATTCCATACTGTAATCCAGTGGCTATCTTGTCCAATATTGCACTCTCTCCAACTTGGGCCCTCAACGCACAAGCTCACATAGGGTAGGAAGGTGGCACTGCCAGAACGATCTCAGCAAAGTGGCCACGGAAGGGATCAATGAGGAGCATGCTAGACGATGAGGGTGGTCTTCTCTGGTGATGCAAATACCGAGCTCCAACCATCTCAAAGTCAAGCCCCTCCTGGGTCTTCGGTCTTTGTGGGAAGGTCTCTCAAAATGGGCAAACCGCAAACCCTCGCCTGGTGCGGTTCCTACAGCCCCTAAATTGGAGCCCTTCCAAATGAAGACACAGTTGCGACTCAAGTTCTTCCCAACTGCACCCGGGCCCCAAGCAGGTCTTGGAGGGCACCTTTTCTGCCTTTTCTGAGCTTCTGGAGCTCTGTGAGTTCCTGAGCAAATGGAAACTGCAGAGTGGAACAGGTGAACCAAGTGGAGGAAGCAACGCAGAATCCCTTTAAAACCAAGTGAGAGAGTGAACCTCTCCATTCGGAAACCATTGAGCTTTATGTAAACCTGTGGCCAGCGCTGGACATCATGACTCAACTGACATCCTTCAAAGGCAAATTAGAGGCCCTAGAACTGTTCAAGACTGAGATTCGCTAGGAACCAAAAGTCTCCTCCCGTATGACTGGTCCAAATCTTGACCTAAAGTCCGTCTTCGGCCGCCGGACTCTGCGTGTTCGACGCGTTCGGCGACCCGGTCGATGCCCAGGGACGTCTCCGGACTCTGCCGCAAGGCTTGGGCGTTGTCGCCTGGGAAGACGAGACCGTGGAAGTCCCGGAGGTGAAGTCCAGGGGTCGCGTTTTTGGACATCGGGATGTGGCGAAAGTAGCAGTGGAAGCTGAAAAAGAAGGATAGGTTTCTTCAGAGATTAAATTGTGATCTGCTCCATTGCCATGATGCCAGCTCTTGGGCTGAAATGGTTGGCACTTGGTGAGGACAGCTGGCTACGACTACGCTAGCGGTCAGGCAACAGGGTCCAAAGGAGACAAAGGGTTCGTCCAACCCAATGACCGACGCTGCCAGGTTCGCCAGACTTTCGCAAGCGTTCTTGACCGCAATCTCATGGAGTTCTCCGTTCACCTGAGCTTCATCTCATCCAAAAATCAGAAAGCATTCGGACAAACTCAACTTAGGGATGACATCAAGGAGAACAACTGAATGCAATCCTGCCTCGAACATGAAGTGAAAGGGAATGTCACGTTCCACTTCAGGCCTGAAGCATCCGCCGACAAAGAGTATCAACAAATCGTTGTTCTCACATGTCACTTGCTACTATGCTTTAAAACTATTCTCTGAAGCTGGATGCCAAGGAGCACTTGTGAGAGGTACGCTTCCTGCACAATGACAAGATCATTGTATCATTGCCAAATGATGATCATCAAGGTTTCGAATCTGGATGAAAAAGTATACAGTAAAGCATTCTGAAGGCGTGTCAGCTTGACTCTCTGCGTGCATTGGAAGTACGAGTAGTTGGCATGCACTCAGTGGTAGGCATTGTTTCAAATTGATGGCCCATTATACTTTATACTACACTAGTACAGACAAATGATACCAAAATTGGATGGAATCCCTTCAACCACAAACCCCACAGCCAACAAGGCTATATGTGTGACGGCCACATGCACACAATGAGTTGGTCAATCCTCAGCAGCCATGCCCAACTTCTTCTTTCCACGGCGCTCCTGCAGTCAAGAGACAAGTGCAAAACCCTTAAGAATTACCCTTGACTTCTCTGGTGCTTTGCTTGGCGTAGGCACCAGTATATCAGGTGTATGGAGACTTAAGACTTTGCGGACACAGGTCTTCCCCTACGCGGACACCCTGCGCTCCTGTCGCTCTTTGTAGGCCATGATCTTCATCGCCATGTCCGGATCCATGGCCAACCTCGGTTCCGGGTGAATCCTCACTCCGTTCTAATAGCTTCTTGTTACTACTAGTAAGGCACCTGTTACTAGAAGCGATGCACTTGTTCCTAGTAGCTTCTTGTTACTAGTAAGGCACTTGTTACTACTAGCGTGGCACTTGTTATTACTAGCGGGTAGAGCTCCACGAAAGCATCGTGCGATTCAGCATCGTTCCACTGTGTCGCTGACTTTTGAGAGAAGTTCTCCTGGGCAAAAAGGGCAATGCTCAAGTGCCCAAAGCAGCCCCAAACCAAAAGAAGTTCCTGGATCATTATATATGGGTGCGGGTAAGGGTCAAACTAAGCACCCAAAAACCCGGGAAATGAACATGAATGATTGATTCTGTTCATCTAGTCACAAGGTTGACCCACTTAAAGGTACTTGACGCCAACCGTTACAAATAGGGAACTCCTTGCATTCCGAACTGTTTTGACCGCAGAGCATTGCCTGATTGATTCCGCTCTTGCCATTTGCTTGTACTTTGCTCCATGCCTGGCAGTGCAGCGGAAAGAAGGTTCTGTGGCTGGTGAGAGGGCAGCATTAGCTCATTCCACATTGGTATCAGCACATCAGTGCGCAGAGATAAAAATAGAAGCAAAAACAAGGCATCGACGCCAAGCGGAAGGAAAAATTAAGTTCACTAGTAGCGATGGCCTCCAACCTAATAGCAATGGCATCCACCCTAATAGTGATGGAAAGAAACCTAATAGTAAGGGCCTCCACCATAATAGCGATGGCCTCCAACCCAATAGCTTCTTGTTACGAGTAGTGTGCAAAAACAAGGAGATTGTTCCAAGGAACTGCCCCAAACCCTCGATCCCCTCCTCTGCTGAGGAAGAAGCTGAAGCCTGTGCAAAGGCAATGCACTGGATGTCCAAACCATGACAACTGGTTTCTGGATTTCGTTGCTGAAAGACTCCTGGATGGATGAACTGCGCCCACACGCATCACAGGGCCCCTTTTAGCAAGTGGTGGAATCTCAGGCATCGAGAACCAACAGTTTGGGAGTCAACCGGAGTCAACACGCTCACACCGGCTCCTTTGAAAGGAAAGACCAGGGCTCCATTGGCTCCATATGGCTCCATATGGCTCCATATGGCTCCATTGGCCGGGCAGTCCCTATTCTTTTTCTGGTCTATTGCCCCCATTCTAAGTCCCTGTCCGTCGCTTTGGATGGCTGCCGCAGGCCGGGAGTGAACCTGCGCAGATCTCGGAAGTAGGCATTCCTCCTTTGCATGTCTAGCTGAAAGCCAATTGTGCAGGACCTGACATATCTTGGTGCTGGTGGCAATTCGCTACAGCTTTCAAAAGAGAGCTCAATAATGGCTGCCCCTTGGGTTCTCCCACCCAATCTCTTTCCGCGGCGTGGATTTGGCCTCAACGTTAGAGGTGCGTTTTTTCTGAGAACTGGGAAAATGCAATGAACATCAATGAAGAAAGAAGAAAATGCTGAAGAAAGGCTTTACCAACTGGGCCTTGCTGTCTGTGAATTGTTGAGGTTTTACTCAGCAAGACTTGACCATGCTGACAACAGAGTTTCTTCACAACGCCGTTTTAGACTCTGATCATCTACGGGTGCTCAACTTTGTGGTCATCTCCTGACCCAGAACATATGTGGCCATATGACCTGCAGGGCCAAGCAGCTCGAATTTATATAGCCCGTGAAACAAAACTGCGCGTCAAGGAAATCACGTGAAGTAAAAATGAACACTGAAATTGAGGAATTTGGGCACCCTTGCCCAAACTACCATGCCTTCAGACAAGGAACCACACACTCCTTTCCTGTATTGGTTGCAGCTGGTCTCAATGTCTGAGCTGTCTGAGCCAATCTACAGTGCAGGCCAATGTGGTCTGCGCCAATGACTAGGCTTGGGCGTCGCACAGAAGTTCCATCAAGTGACCTCGTGGTGCACGGCTCTCATCAGCACACCCCTCATACGGCAGTATAAATTATAAAGGGCTTTCTCTTTTCAGGGCATCACCATCCTTGAAGTTCCTTAAAGTATACAGTATACAGCATGTGAAGACTTCCTGACAAAACTTCCAGCCCACCATCATGCATCCTTTTCGCAAAGCATGCCAGCACGGCAGAGGCGTTGGAGGCTTTCTGCCTGCCGTGGAGCTTGGGAGGCATTGGGTGGGAGAGGAAAATGGGGACCAGCGCTTGCCCCAGTCAGTCCCACATATCAGCAATGTCTGCGCGAACATGTTGATGAAAGTGGCTTTCCCAAATGACAATTGAGAGAGAGAGAGACAAGAAGACCGCGTTTGGTGTGGTACTCCTGCCCTACAAACGATAGATAGATTCATTAAAACAGACGCTTAGAATCTAGTATATCAATGTAAATCATATTCCCCGTTCCTAAGGAGCGCTTCAAACAGCCATTCCTTGCTGGAAAGCATTCGAGTTTGTTTCTACTCACAATGACCCTCCCTCTCTGGTCTTTGTCTGAATCCTCAAAGTCTTCCTGGTGTGAACCGCCTTCGTGGTTCACTTGGTCTCAAGTCTCAAGTCTAGATACAGAAATCCAACCCACTGGTCACGCAAGGTTAGTGCTGTGCGAGCTGGCCTGCCAGGCCACCGGAACTCTGCTCAGAGATGCTGTCGCTCATGATGCTTGCTCGTCTGTTTGCCCGGGCACTGGGCGGCTTCTCAGCCGCAGAGGCACTGGCCGCAGGGGCGGCTCTGGTCGCTGGGGCCGCAGTGGCCGCAGGGGCCACAGGGGCGGCCGCGGCCGGAGCGGGACAGGCTGGAGAGGCGGAAGCAGGCTGCGCCACCTTGGGCGAGCTGGGCGCGCTGGGCATAGGTGGAGGAGCCTCAGCCGTGAGTAGCCGAGTTGGGAGCTCAACATCAATCAACGTTCACGAATCTGTCCTCTTGAATCCCAGACTCTGGGAGGTCTCAAGGCCAAATCAGCCCTGAGGTTGGCACAGGGTCATCACCTTGGAGGACCACCTGGCGAAAGTTCGACAACCGTCAAGTAGATGGTGGCATGAGCTCTCCCAACCGATCTTGCGAGATACAAATGATATGCAAAGAAGAGACCGCAAAAATGATATGCAAAGAGAATGACTGATATGACACAAGACTCAACTCTTGTCTGATGTTTCTGGGGTTCGCTTCAATAGCCCCACTGCTGTTGCCAAAGTTGTCTCACATTCGTCTTGTGCCATGTCCATGAAAAACAGTTGCAACAAACTCCATGTCATCAACTTCTGTCACTTCCAGTCAACTGGGATCTCCTTGGATGGTGCACAGGTGTGCCATGCCTTGATGCTAACAAGCACGACTACCAGCACTAATTTCACAGCCGTGGTGTAGCAGCATGTGGAATGGTGTGCTTTGAGCATTCCCAACAAGACTTTGAGATGCCATAGCTAGCAACAGCCTCAGAAAGGTGCTTGCGCAGCAAATTGAGACGCAGTTCGCCCAGCAAAAAGGAACCGACCGAAAGAAAAGGACGGCACCAAGCGTGTCAGAGCGTCAAGACATTCTTTGCCTTGGAGGCTGCAAATGTTGTGAGCTACCGTGAGCCCTTAAGTTCTATCGAAAATGTCCATCGTGTTGTTCACCAAGGCCCTCGGTGCTTATTGCGTCATGTTTTCAAAAAAAGAATGGATCCAAAGAGAAGAAATATATATATATATAACTTATATAACTCGCACAAATCGATTGGTGGTCAGCTCAAAGGCACTGGGCTCCATGACTCACGCCTTTGCAACTGCAGTTTGCTTGACCCATGGCGTTTCACAGGTCTACGGCCCGAAAAATGATCCGCAGCGGGAAAGTAGTACTAGTCCAAATTGGGAGGATGCCATTCACAATCACATTTGAAGAAGGGAAGGTTAGGTCCTAAAAGGAATGAGTTGCAGCTGTCGCTATCCCTTACAGGAAAAGCAGAGTCGGCGTGGCACTGGGTGTGAAGTAATCTCCAGATGGGTCAAACTTAAGGCCAAAGAAATTCTGTCTCTGCAAGAGTAGAAAGAACTGGGGCTGGCTGAACAAAGAAATACTCTCTGGCAATGCACCATAAAAACAATGAGTCAATGAGGAATCCAAACCAGAGAACGTGCTTTTTAATAGCATGAATACGAGACCTTCACATAGGTTTGAGCATTCAAAACATGTCCGCCATGGGATCTGTGCGCACAATATCGAGTCTCAACATGTGAACTCGTGAAGTTAGCAATGCTTACTTGATAAGGTTGCTAGGAACAAACATAAATAACAATGTGCGCTAGCTTTCACAAATAAATAAATGCCTTCATCACCTCTTTTTGCGCTGCCACGGGGTCTGCACGATGGTTAAACACAGGTCGCTAGGCCACAGGTTTTCACACATCAGTGGACCCCCAGCATTTGTGCGGTCCTTCCGCACAGGCAGCTGCACGCCCCGCAAAATTAGAACTGTACATTGACGCGTGGGTCCAAAACGAGAGATTCCGCCTGCCATAGACAGAAGAGTAAAGTGCAAGACCATGTCCTAGTCCTACGGTGAAAAGAGCGGAAGAATGGACAAAACCGTGCACCTTAGCACTTCAGATGCACAACATGTTTCAAAGGGTCCACCTCTCAGCCAACGTTCAAAAACTTCAAAATACTCCAGGCTTTCACCCCACCTAGAACAGTGTGGCCGGTGCAGCCCCTGGTCGGCGACTGGTGATGTGCGGTCTCGTGCGCGTGGGCAGCACCTGAGTTCGAACTGAAGGGCCCCTACGGCCACAGCAAACATCATAGGGGCTCCTGGCATCCCTTCTAGGAGCAAGGACGCTGCTAGGGGCTCTTGGCCTTACTGCTAGGAGCAAGGACGCTACTAGGGGCTCCTGGCCTTACTGCTAGGAGCAAGGACGCTACTAGGGGCTCCTGGCATCGCTACTAGGAGCAAGGACGCTGCTAGGGCTCCTGGCCTTACTGCTAGGAGCAAGGACGCTACTAGGGGCTCCTGGCATCGCTACTAGGAGCAAGGACGCTGCTAGGGGCTCCTGGCCTTACTGCTAGGAGCAAGGACGCTACGAGGGGCTCCTCACCTTACTACTAGGAGCAAGGACGCTACGAGGGGCTCCTGGCATCGCTACTAGGAGCAAGGACGCTACTAGGGGCTCCTGGCATCGCTACTAGGAGCAAGGACGCTGCTAGGGGCTCCTGGCCTTACTGCTAGGAGCAAGGACGCTACTAGGGGCTCCTGGCATCGCTACTAGGAGCAAGGGCGCTACTAGGGGCTCCTCGCCTTACTACTAGGAGCAAGGACGCTACGAGGGGCTCCTGGCATCGCTACTAGGAAAAAGGACGCTACTAGGGGCTCCTGGCATCGCTACTAGGAGCAAGGATACTAGGAGCAAGGGCGCTACTAGGGGCTCCTCGCCTTGCTACTAGGAGCAAGGACGCTACGAGGGGCTCCTGGCATCGCTACTAGGAGCAAGGACGCTACTAGGGGCTCCTGGCCTTACTGCTAGGAGCAAGGACCCTACTAGGGGCTCCTGGCATCGCTACTAGGAGCAAGGACGCTACTAGGGGCTCCTGGCATCGCTACTAGGAGCAAGGACGCTGCTAGGGACTCCTGGCCTTACTACTAGGAGCAAGGACGCTAATAGGGGCTCCTGGCATCGCTCCCAGGAGCAAGGACGCTACTACGGCCTCCTGGGCTTACTACTAGGAGCAAGGACGCTACTAGGGGCTCCTGGCCTTACTA